TTTGAGAAAATTAGGAGTAAAATAGACATTAGAAGAGCAAAACTGAAAGCAAATGCAAATTATATAAAGCTTATGGGGATACATAAACGTGTAAGTTATTGATCTGTTGAAATTGGCAATCTGGATCATGAATTGCTTGTCTTCTGGTTCAGATGGACCAAACAGGATTGATTGATTTATTTTCTGCTGTTGTTATTGGGGGTGTGTTGGGGTGGGAGGTTAGCCAGCTCTGACAACTTAAGAGTAGCATTATCTACGAGTTATCATTTGTGTGAAACGCATTTAGTAGGAAAGTGGCCTTGGAAAAAAGTTAGGTGATTGGAGAAGAAGTCGACCATGGCACAGGTTATTAACAAATTGGTGTATGAACATTTTGTGTGTGCAACTAGGAGTGTTATATGTATAATGATAGAATGCTTGCATTTTTTTAATTTTTTTTTTTTAAATTGATCTTGTTAATTTGGTAACTGTTAAATGATTTTTGATTTTCTATTCGGAATTCAAGAAGATGGATATGTTTTGCATTAAGTGTCTACATTATTGTTATCATGTAAACTATAATTTTTTTTTTTTTTTTAACATATATAATTGACTGTGTAATCCATCCAGTGCTTCTTCATTAATTGTGGTGGAAGCTTTAGGTTCAAGTGTGTACATATTCATCTGTGGGAGTATATGTGAGTTTATGTGTAATTAGTAATATTATACATGTGCATTACAGCCTTTTCTGGCATTCTTCAAATTGCTTCTTTGTAATTGATGATCCTCCAAAAGTTATCCACATGGTGGTATCATTTATTAGGTTATACTATATTGGTATAAACTAACAATATGCGTGTCAAACATTATCTATTTATTTTCTTCTTGTTTTCATGATTTGGTGTATATTGACAGTGTTCTTAAGCAAAGAGTTGTATTTCAAATGTCTATTCGGTAAAAGACTGGTATAAATGCTCAATTTATTTCCCTTGTATGGCTGTATCTTATCTTGTTTCTAGATTTCATCTTGGCCTTGTATTATATCAATGCATTATTATTAGTGTCACTGGTTCCTCAAATATTGGATTACCAATATAGTTCACTTCATCTTCGTGTACCAGTTCATACATTTCAAGTGATATACTGCTGAACGAATTTGTTGGAATTACAGATAGAAGAATTTGTAAGAAATTATTAACTTCAGATGATTTACAGCTGAATGTGTAGTTGGTGGCTGTTTTGATACTTTCCCACGATGATTTGAACTTTTACTTTTGGAGGACATTATCCAAATCAAATTTTTTGTATTTATTATATGTTCAACTAGGCATTGCATAAATTAGTGACCTAGAATCTTCATACTCCTCTTTAATTTCGTACTCTTGTAGTTCTAACATTCTTGCTGTACTTCTTTAATTCAAATGACAAGTAGGTGTGATGAAGCGTACACGTGCCCATTTTATCGAGAAACATTAGTTGATAAAACCTATCATTTCTTAATAGTCTTACGTATTTAAATTTTTTGTACATGTACAAGATGTAGAAACATAATGTGTGTACTACATCGAGTCTTATGCTTGCAAGTTGCCACTCTTATTCAACCCCGACATCATTTGTTTATGGGCCTTGTCTGCATGTTGGTTATATATTAGTAATGCACCTAATCTTATGCAGTACTTTGGCCCTTGCACATTTATCAACAAAAGCATCCTCTGAACTTCATCTTCCTTGGGCTATTTACGGCTTCCCTGAGTCTCACTGTTGGTGTTAGCTGTGCCAATACTGAAGGTATGTAGTTTTCCTGCGAATTTGAAGATGGTATGGGAAACTATTACTTGCCTGACCTTTTTTTCCTTGCGCCATTCACAGGAAGAATTGTACTTGAGGCCTTAGTCTTGACATCAGCTGTGGTTTTAGCTTTGACCGGGTATACTTTCTGGGCTTCTAAGAAGGGAAAGGACTTCAGCTTTCTGGGACCAATCTTGTTTACTAGCCTCGTTGTGCTGCTTGTGACCAGCTTTATCCAGGTCTCTCTCTATCTCTCTGTTATGTGAGCATTTGTGAGTTCTGTCCATTTTATCTTTCTTTTTGTTCCCATAAAAATGACAATTACGTTGATTATCTAGTAAACAATATTTCATGTGGCGTGCAGATGGTCTTCCCTCTTGGACCTGCATCTGTTGCTATCTACGGTGCATTCAGCGCCATTATATTTTCTGGCTACATAATATATGACACCGACAATCTGATCAAGCGATTCACTTATGATGAGTACATCTGGGCATCGGTCACTCTTTATCTGGACATTCTCAACCTCTTCCTAACTATTCTGCGGATGATGAGACAGGGAGACAATTAAGACTTGGGTGCATTAGTGCCCAACTACTATTTGTCGTAGGGATTAACTATCTCCTATATTAAGTGCAAAGACATGTACACCTGTTACATAAGTTACTACTATTTGCTGGATCTTATGAATCGATTGATTACATAGACGCCCCAAAATCTATCTGTAATAAAGTGGTGTAATTGAATCTATGTGTGTATGTGATTTTTTCTGCATTATAACTTTTATTTCATTGTAAATTTAGCTACTATGCTGTTGAACAGTTTTGAAGGAAAAAGCTGTTATCCTCGTTTGAATTTGTGGATGATATTAGCCATTATTTTCTCTTCAGTTAGTCTCCATTGGACAGGAGTGACTTTGAATTAGTCCCCTCTGAAAAAAGTTAGTTTAGCTGAATTAATCTTTTTCTCTAAGGGCTTGTTTGATACCTCCATTTTCCATGAAAAAATTTTCACCCCAAATGTATTGTTTGATGACCAAAATTTTCCATGTAATTGCTTTTCTACCTTGCCCCCACCTACCCATTTTCCTGCTTTTCAAGGAAAATCAATTCCTTTGGTTTTGGTGGAAATTGGTTTTTTATTTTTTTTTATTTGCAATGGAAACAAATTTTATTCACAATTGTAACAGATTTTATCCCTTTAATTGACAATTTTTATAAAAAACAAAGTCAAACAATCATCAAAAGATCCAAAATTTTAATATTTTTCGGTGGGAAATTATATTAATTAAGCATATTTAATTGACAATTCACAGTAAAATAAGTTTTAGGCAATACAATTAATTGAAATTCGTTTTCTTTTTATTCAAATTTAATTCTTGCAATCCAACAAACCTTAAGGATGTGTTTGATAGGCCCAATTCCATGGAAAATGGAATTCCATTTTCCACTAAATTGAAGTGTTTGATAGCACACTTTTTCTATGAAATTCATTTTCTTGATTGTTTTGGAAAATGTTCTTTTCATGGTTTTCCAACCTGCTTTAACCTTTTTTTTATCTTTTTCTTTTTTTTTTTTGTAATGGAAATAAATTCTAAGAATTCTTGTAAAAAAATATTTCCCTTTAACTGACAATTTCCATGTAAAATAAAAACAAACGAACACCAAAAGATAGATGATTTTCTTGATTTTTTTTTGTTGGCAATTGAAACAAATTTCATACCCAATACCAGTCAATTCTATCCTTTTAATTAACAATTTTCATGTAAAACAAAGCCAAACGAACATAAAAAGACGCTTTAATTTCAATATTTTTCACGTGAAAAATTATACCAATCAAACACAATAATTTACAATTCCCAGAAAAATAATTTCTAGAAAATTCAATTCTCTGGAGTTCGTTTTCAATTCAATTTTATCTTTGCAATCAAACGGGCCCTAAATGTTATTTGAGTGGAATGGAAGAGCTTTCGGAGAGGAGGAGTTGCTGTTGACCTAAGGTTGCTTCTTCCTTGGAAAACTTTACAAAAAGTAGTACTCCCGATAAACAGGCCCTAAACATGTTTAGCAGCAGTTATTTACTCAAGTAATTTTTCAGTTTTTAGAAGTACTGCTAAGTAGATTCTTTCGTGACATGGCTTCGAGTGAGTAAGTTGAGTAATAATGGTATAACACCTAACAATAGACCAAGGGTCTATAATTTTTCAACTTTGCTCCATGCCTCCATGCATAGAAATTTTGTACAAATAAAAAAATATTTCTTATAAATGTTAGCAAATAATTTTTCATTCAGCATCGCAATGAAGGGAAATAATCATAAATTTAAATGGATTATTTGAAAAGTGCTTAATATATAGCGTAAACATCTTCAATATTTTTGGTACATTGAATTTGTTAAAATTGACATCAAAAGTCATAATTGATTCTTATAGATGGATCTAGTCAAATTTAATTACGACCAATTTCAATAACAAATTGAATTTAATTCAAGTCATGCCATCCATGTATCGACTACGAATTTTAAGTCAAAGTCACGCTGACCTAGAGGGTGTTTGGAATATATTTTTAGATAAAAATGTATTTTTGAATAGTAAATTGATGGAAAATGTGTGGTTGAAAAATAAGGAATTTTTTTTATTTAAGTGTAACATTATTTTAATAAAGAATGTATAGTTGAAAAGAAGAGAGAGAAAAATGCATTTTGAAAAAAAAAAAATGAGTACTAAACGGGACCCTAGCATGACAATTTTTCATATCAGTAAGGCTTTCACTTCTCTCTTTCCATCTCTACAACGAAATTACAGGAAGAAATGTGAACCATTCATCATCAGCCATCATCTTCCAATATCTCTGTGAACCATTCATCATCAGCCATCATCTTCCAATATCTCTTCTGGTTTCCTTCTTTCTCCAGCCTACACCACCACTTTCAATTGGGTTCAGCAATAGTAGTTTCGATCTCCATGACATTATCACTTTTAGATTGACTTTCAGATTGTTAGGAATCCTCGAGAGAGTACAAGAAACACAACCAAACTGAAGATCAAAACTCGAACACGAATAAATCCGGATGAATGAAGAAGGCTTGAATTATGTATGGAATACGCTTTCTCTAAGTTTATGTTTTAAGACCAAAACTTCTCGTAAGTTTATAGCAAGCCATTTAAACTTTTAATCTCACTTTTTATTCGAACAAATTTCCAGCCAGCACACCACGCACACGCACACACACACACAACTGAACCTATCAGCACGACAGTTAAATGATGGCTGATCTGTGATTGATGCTTGCAGACATTATTGACATTGAGGAATCCCGTCCACCGCGAGGGCCTAGAA